TTATCAGCTTCTATTCTCCTGGGATCCATGTCAGCATCTGTGGACACATACCTGATATCATCTTCTATTCTCCCGAATCCATGTCAGCACCTGTGGACACATACCTGATATCATCTTCTATTCTCCTGGGATCCATGTCAACACCTGTGGACACATACCTGACATCAGCTTCTATTCTCCTGAATCCATGTCAGCACCTGTGGACACATGTCTGATATCAGCACCTGTGAGAGGGAAATTCCTGAACTGGCACCAACTGCAACAAGATGAAGAAAACGTCTTTGACTTTCAAGACGATATGTACAGGTAAGAAATATTATCACTATCTTTATACATTGTTTAAAATTATGTTTAAATTTGTGCATTGTTATTCTTTTGCTCATAAAAGTTGTTGAAAGCTATATATTATTATTATTATTTATTTACTCTAAAAATATGTTGAAAGTAATACTTTATTATTCTTGTGGTTTATAAAAAAATGTACCATAGAAAGACAACAACAACTCCAAGCTCTGGAGTATAATGTTATATCGATATGGGAACATGATGCAAAGAAGCTGGAACCAACAATTCAGTATTAAAGACCACTCAGTAGGTCCAAGCCTCGATGTACGGGACGCCTTCTACAGAGGGAGAGTCAACACAAGAAGAATTTTTTTACGATGTTAAAAAAAATCAAGTACGTTGACTTTACATCTCTATGCCCATGGGAACAGATACTGTGAGTATCCAATAGGACATTCTACCATCATAACACAATTTTCACCGATTTGAAAAATTATTTTGGTTTCATAAAGTGTAAAATTCTAGCCCTGATAAAACCCTATCATCTTTTTGTGTTTTTTAGAAGGGACAGTATGATCCTGTTTTGCTCCTGATGTTAGGCAGTGAGAAGGCTATTCTGCACTTTCTTGTTATTTATTTTAAGAAACTCCTGGATTAAAGAGGAAAGTGGTATATTTCGTACATTTTTAATATCTGATAGCCACACTTAACTGCTTTTTTTCACTTATTCAGTGATCCAAGTGGCGATGAAAGCTCTCTCGTGATCATAGTGGTGGCATGGTGGTGGTGATCTTGGTTCAAATTTACTTTATAATAAGCTGAAAAGGAAGGAGTAGAATTGACCCCAGAAAACTGCATTTAATCCAGGAAGAAGATCAATTGTAAAACTGTCTTAACTCTTTTTGGGGATGTTGGGGTAAGTAAATGACTTACCTTTAATGAGTGATAACCCTAAGGTCATAATAGATGTTAGGTCAGTTAATGACGAAGTTATTCCTCATCATTGTAGACACAAGCGGAATGTCTGCCTCAGAAAGATCAAAACAACATATTTCTAGCAGCTTTCACTACTATTCACGCTCATCTGAAAGTGCACTATATGCTGGAGAAGTTCTGTATTGTATTATGATACAGATAGTATTGTTTACATTTCAGACAGATTTAATGATCCACCTCTAGGCTATTATCTTGGTGAATTAACAGACGAGCCTGATGGTTATTACATCACATCATGGGACAGTGGTGGTTCCAAGAATTATGGATACTTACGATGAGAAGTCCAGTTGTAAAATTAGAGTGCTTACGCTAAGTTTTATCAACAGTGAGAAAGCAATGTTCTCATCAACAAGTAGTAAAATAATGAACATGATTAATCCTTTTTAGCATTTTATTGAATGTTTTAGCAAAACAAATGTTTCTGACACGTGTCCAATACTTTGAAGAAGATTACCAAGATAAAATGCAGCAATCCATGGTTACATCCTCATCGATTTGAAACTTCGAACACCAGACCAATTACGTTTAAGGATGGGACTAATTCTTGGAGACGAAATGTTGGTGTAAGTATCAAAGTAAAATATAACTGATGTTTCAATGTATAAATACTCGTTGATTGTCATGACTGCAGCCGGGGCAGATCTAGAAGGATTTTATCTAAATGATGGGCCACATGTAATTAAAGAATTGGCATTCAACTGTTTAGTCACAAGATATATATGTGTGTTTTTGTTTAAACAATAACTACATCCCCTGGAAAAGTGGAAGCATCGACTATCCCTATTTGTAGAGTGTAGTCTGTTTGCTCAGAATGAACTTTACCATTGTTTTTACAAATTGGAGAGAGGAAACCGAGTTGTTAAGAAGTCTTTTCAAAACTTCTTGTTATAATCTGGAAGTACTTGGATGCCCCAGGATTAATCGACTCTACCTGTCTGTTTCATGATAAAACAATTTCATCATTTTAGTTTAGGAAAAAGTAGTTACTATATCCCAATGGTTTTCTAGATAATCAGTTTTTATATGGTGTACTTAAATCTCTTTTCATTTATTCACCATGACACCATGAATTAAACAACAGCAAGTTTTGTTCAGCACATTGACTAAAGCAACACATAAACAGATTAAAGGAATAACTTGCCAGAGCTACAAACAAATTGATCATTTGCATTTGTCAATATGCCTTAAATGTTTTAAATGGTAAGATTCACATGAAGAAGATAGAAAAGTAAAAACTTAGTCTTTATTGAGAGAGTTAGCTGTTAAGAAAGCATTGGCTAATGGATAAGAAACTTACTAAGAAAAGGTAGGTTTTTTACCATCACTCATTGCACCAATACTTTCATGGTTCGAGGGTTTGGCAGGACAGGATATCACTAAAGCTGTTAAGTTTTTATAAGAATATGGAACACACAAAACGAATGATTCTTATTCCTGAAGAGCTGACACG